AATTGACTTCACAAAATTGGAAACTTAACCTCAAAATTAAATGGTTTTAAAATGGCGAGCGACAAGCAATTTATTCGACACTTCGATACGAATTTCATCAAGGAAAAAGCGCTGCTAAAGCATGAATCAATTTGTTCTGTTCTTGGAGTCAATGTTGTATCCAAAAGTACGTGTGAGTTTTGGTTTAGGCGGTTTAAAGAGGATGATTTTGATGTTAGCGATAGAGAACGTAGTGGTATTCCTCAGAAGGTTACAAACAATGAATTGCAAGCATTACTCGATCAAAACTCATGTCGAACACAAAACGAACTTGCACAGCAACTTAGAATAACTCAACAAGATATTTAAATTCGTTTACGGCAGATGGGAAAGAAGGAAAGTGGGTGCCGTATGCATTAAGTGAAAAAAACAAAAATGATCGTCTTGAGAAGTTTTGAATCTGTACAATAAACAGCATAGAAAATCTTTCTTGTGGAAAATCGTGACTGGTGATGAAAAGTGGATTTTTTATGATAATCCTAAAAAGAGAAAATATTATGTGGATCCAGGACAACCCACTACATCAACGCCAAAACGCAACATCCACAGCAGCAAAGTTATGCTATGCATCTGGTGGAACATGAAGGGTATGCTATATTAGAACTGCTCCATCCGAATGAAACGGTTAATAGTGATCGCTACAGTCAACAATTGATCCGTTTAAATCAAGAAATCGAACGAAATCGTCCATTTACTGGCAAAGGAAAACGTCCTGTGAAATTGCTTCATGACAACGCTAGGCCTCATATTGGTAAACCTGTAAAGGAAACGTTGCTAGCTTTTGGTTGGGAAGTTCTGTCGCACCCGGCGTATAGCCCAGACATAGTCCCTTCTGATTATCATTTATTCCGGTCAATGCAAAACGCCTTGTTCGGTGTACACTTTCGAGCATTTGAAGAAGTGCGAAAATGGGTGGATAATTTTATCGCATCGAAAGACAAAAACTTTCTTCGCTTCTGGAATTCGTAAGCTGCCCGAAAGATGGCTAAAGGTCATAGATAATGATGGAGATTATTTTGATAATTAAGTGTGTTTTCGTTTCTAAATAAATAAATATTAAATTTCATTAAAAACGCTTTAAAACTTATTGGTACACCTAATATAATATGTTGTAATATGTTTATTCTTCTATGTTTATTATAATACTATAATATAGTAAATTATTTCAAATATGTGGAAAGGGAAATATAAATACACATTTATTATAGAAACAAATATCCATTTATTTATTTTCTTCACTGAAAAAAGTAAACAACTCTAAATCGCGGATCTCGCGAGACCCTGCATCCACCGGCGGAAGTTAATTAAATATTTCCATATTTGTAAACGTCATTTTCAAAAGATTTCCAATAAATCTCTATTTATTGGCTTAAAGAAATCCTGAAGCCGTCTATATTACTGACTAAATGATCATTTTTGTATAACAATTACTTTTTCCTCTTTTACAGATTCGAAAAATCCAAAGGATTGGTCAGTGAGATAATTTTTGTACAAGGATTAGATATTCAGTGACAATTTAAACGAAATTTTGGGTAATCTAAGATAATTTTTGGTAAATCTAAATAATCTTTAACGTTCTCAAGTACTTTTTTATTTATACTTAACTTGATTAGTCGCAAAATTTTTAATTTAAGTTGTAATATAACAAGTTGTGATTTAACAAAGAGTCTGTGTACTATTTGTGTTTTTTTAATATTTTTTATTTCATAAAATATTTCTATATATATGTGTGTATATATATATTATACATATATATATATATATATATATATATATATATATATATATATATATACACATATATACGTATATTAGGGGGTTGCATTAAAAGTTACTGTTTTTTCTTTGTATTTGAGCACTTATTTCAATAACAAAATATATGAATATCTCAATCAAAGTATTTTCGCTCGGAAGCTATGACTTTTTGCCACTTTTCAGGCAGAAGTTGAATTCCACGACGAAAGAATGGTCTGTCTTTTGAATCAATCCATTCAGCAACC